GAGCTTCTGCTGGAGCTTCTGCTGAAGTCTCTGCTGGAGCTTCTTCTGGAGTCTCTTCTGCAGCCTCTTCTGGAGTTTCCTGCTCCCCTTCAGCAGCAGCCTGCTGTTCAGCCAGGTTGCGGTTCACACTGATTTCCAGGCTGAAGCGGAAATCGCCACTGTTTGGGTTGGTCTGACTCACGGCCCGCCATGACTGGTTTCCTCGATGACCAGTCCTGGTTGTGTTGCCTGTGCGCCTCACTGTGTTCAGCCAGTCCAAGAGACTATCCCCACTGGCAGGATCCTCAGAGTTTTCCGGTGGTTCTGGAAATCAGCAGAGTTATTAAGTGTGACAAATCATATCTGAATTTGACATTAAATCCCAGAGTCAAAAAAAAAAAAAAGAGTAAGAAATGGCAAATTATTTACCAACTGGTTCTTCACCACTTTCAGTACTGGGGTTGTTATTCTGCTGTTCTGGACCATCTTTGATTTGTTGAAGTCTACTAAACAGCTCATCCTCTGTTACTTCTCCTGAAAGAGACATTTCAAAACAATACAATAGCCTGTTATTAGAAGAACATTTTTGGCAATGCACATATTGCTCTCTTGAAGGTTATTAGGCGTTTAGTTCACTTCCTCTTCTCTAGTCTGACCACCAATGTAAGCTGGAAGGAAAAACTGCAGGTGGCCCAGAGGTGTTGAAAGCTTAACCGCCTACAATAAGAACAAAACATTTTCTAATTTAATGCATAGAAAGACTGGAAGTTGGCAGAGGGACACACATCTGTACAGAACTAAAGTGAAAAAAATAAATCCTGTGCTATATTGCAGAAATGATGTACACGTGTCAAAAAAGAAAAAACAAATGTATTGGCCCATAGAGCTGTTTTGTTTTCTTTCAACACAGCAACAGGACAATACTGAAAACCTCCAGACTTACCAGGGCATGCCACTGTCCATTCAAATGCCCTCTCCTTGCAGGGTGATCCGCTAAAGGACGCTCCAAAATTCCCCCTCCCACTGTCCTGGGACAGAAACGGATTGGGCGTCTTCAGTAGTCCGTAGGCTGTTGCATTTCGAGCACAGTGACACATCCAAAACGAGAGGTAGGTACCCGAGCGTAACTTTTATTATGTTAATCGGGCAAGTAGGAGACGCATAAAGATGGATGAGGACAAAGAATTTACCAATAGGTCATAAAAAGATAAAAAGTTAATATCATCATGTAAATTATGATTGAAAAGATGGCAAAAGCAATCCGGTAAACTGCTTTTAGGCACTTATTTTTTAGGGCTGGGTACTAATATTAAAGTTATGATGAGCAGTACCATTGAAGTAATACGTACACCAAGTAAATACTTACTTCATATGTCAGGACTCTTTTTCTAGACCAGATATGGTTCTGGATCTGAACTTTATTCAGGAGACACTGTATTTATTCACCCCACTGCATGACTTTTGACTATGAAGAACCTGAGATACTGTGTGTATAGAAGTTTTGAGTAAGCCACCGGGTATTTATCTAAAAATGTTTTGCTTTAATTATGTCGAAATCTACATATATATATTTTTTTTTTAACCTTTTTTGTCAGCCAAGTTTGAAACTATGAGGCTCAGGCTAAGCATAGAAAATGAGAGCAGATTAAAAAAAAAAAAAACAATGAGGATGTAGTTCTTAGAAAAATATACACCAAAAAAACAACAAAAAACAGGTATCTGTGTGATGT